CTAATGATTTATTTTTCTGTCTTTCCAGGTTTGGTCTTGACAATTGTGTCGGATCTAGCGTCACGGACTGTATCAAGGGATACTTTCCCGATGCAGCTCCAAACTGGAAGATGACGCCGAGCCACACCAAAAAGACGTGGTTCAAATCGTTCGCTGTAAGTTTAGTAAATCAACTTAATTTATATATTTTTAATCATTTCAATTATGAAATATATTGAACTAATCCGTCTTTTACTTTTTCTGGTTGCAGCAAAAATATCGTTGGTCTATTGGGATTTACCAGCGGGTGAAGTCAGAGTTCGAGGCCAAGGCAAAAGCCCGATTGTGCGACACGGTCTACAACTGGAAGGGCGACTATCAGGTATAAATTTATAAATTATAATATATGTATACTTTTAAAAATATATATATTATTGACTATTTTAATTGTAATTATTTTTAAATCAGGTGGACGGTTACGAGCGAGGGAAACCCGATTGCCTCACAACCACGGTGTGGGATGGCCTCATCGCCTATTGGGAGTTGCCGGACTCGATCAGAACCTCCAACAAAAACTCCGGCAACCGCATGACCTTAGACGAGCATGGCAACACGAAGATTCTTCACACCACGGGCCGAAAACCTCACGGGGGAGTTCGTCTCGACAAGGTATTTTTTTAACTTTTAACTTTTTACTTTATTTGAATATTCTAATATTCTACATTAATTAATGTTTACTTTTAAAAAAAAAAATAGGCTAAAGAGAGAGGATTTCTTCCATCTCTTAAAGAACTTTACGAGCGGACCCACCGGAAAAAGAGTGGGCAGTTTGTAGATCTTGCTTCCGAGCGGATCTTCCAGGAGGTTGCTGCCCGGGTTGAGGAACGCCAGACCCAGCTGACTCAGCAGACTGGGGCTCCGGTCGTATTATCCACTCTTGAAGTGGATAAGATTTACGAGGAGGTAAATAATTTGTTTTAATATATTAATTTTTATTATTTATTTAAATTTTCCTTACATTATTAATATTTTTTTTTGNTAATTTGGTTTTTCTAATTTTTTTAATATATATATAATTTTTAATTTATAAATATTTTTTTTTAAAAGAAAAAACATTTCCAAGCAATTTCCTCGTAAAGCTTTCGAAGTCATCTCCTAGTAAATATTCCTAGCAAGTTCCTCGTAAGGTTTCCTCGTAAGCTCTTCGTATATTTTCCTAGAAAGTTCCTCGTAATTAATCTACTACGAGTTTACGAGGAAAGACTTTACTATGAGCTTACGAGGAAAGCTTACGTGGACTTTACGAGGAAAACTTATCCACGCCTTCACGAGGAAATGTTTCCTCGTAAGTTAGCTAGGACTTTACGAGGAAAATAGGCTTTACGATGAACGCCTTTCGACGAAACGGGTTTCCTCGTAATTACCTAGTAAAGGCCCTTTTACTAGGAAATAACGAGGAGAACCCATCCTAGTAAATGGCCTGTTTTCTTGTAGTGCATGAATTTCAAATAACGTTTGAATACAAAGTTAATATTGATATAAAAATAAAATGTATGTAGTTATAAATTTTAAATTGAAAGTAATAAAAACTATAAGATGTAAGAGTATAAATGAAAGTGGATAAAATAAAATAAAATAAAATAAAATAAACCAATTAAAATATCTATATTACTAAAATATTAGATAACACATTTCTATTAAAATCAGCTCAGCCGTTGAAGTATAAAACTTATTTAATTATAACAAGAAAATCAAAATCATAATAAACCTCCATAGAATAAAGAATCCATAAAAATAATTATTTATACCATATATATAACCAAGCCTTTCAAAATAAAATCAAATATTTGAAATATGTCATGGTCCAGTCCGAACTCGGGAGCACTAATAAAGTGAGATTCTTAGCTTGATAAAACCGACTACACCACTTGGACAACAAGTAAATTAGCGACAAAGTCATTTAATGCTATCTTTATTAGTTTCTGAACTGCTTCTCTCTCCACTCTTGCTGCTACTTGTTCACTCCTGGTCCTCAGATTTCGTTTCTGGTGTCCGAAAGAAACAAATCGCCAGAATGATGAAAAATCAAGCAAGAACATCATCTCTGCCAATCGTTTTCTTCTCCTTGCTTCACACCACAAGTTGTCTCCTCATCTATATTCTTTTTCATTGGTACGTTTGTTTACTACGAGAATGTTTTCAGTTTTATGCTCAATTTTCATTTATTTATTTAATTCCAGTTTACGTTGTTAAACTCCGTGACTTGAACTTTTATAATCTTTCTTCGTTTCAGTGAGAACTCTAGAGAAAACTAGCAATGGCGAATTCTGAAGTAGGGACAAAAACAGGAACAGTGAAAGCAGAGACAAGCATATACAGACAGAACTCTATTTCAGGCAGCTCTTATCAGTTGGATTTACCAATCGTTGAGGTGAAACCTAAAGATCTCCTAAGTTAGACTTTGTTTTACTTGCAAATGTGTATACATGGGTTGAAGATTTTGATGATGATGATTCTTTTGTAAACAGTCTTCTTCATCACTTGTGGAAGATTTGCACAAGTCAAGAAAAATACTTGATGGTTACAAAGAGAGTAGAAAAGATTCAGAGTCTGCAAAAGCAAGAGCTGAAGTGGAACTTTCCAAGGCAATGGAGTTGGTAAAGGAGCTCACATTACTGATAGAGAGGTTGAATCGGAGTAAAGAGTTTCATAAAAAGGATATGGAAGCTTCAAAGATAGATTTAAAACTTGAGGAAAATAGTTAATACGTGGAAGTTATGAGAGATTTGGAGGCTGCGAAGGAAGAAGTTAGTAGGCTTAAGCTAGATGTAGATTCTGTTTTGGGAGAGAAGGTTGCACAAGAGAAGAAAGTGTTGAAAATTGGGTTTAAAATGGAAGAGAATTTGAGATTAATGGAGAGTCTTAAGCAGGAGATAGAGACTGCTAATGAGGAACATTTTTTGGTTGAGTTAGGAAAGATGGATGCATCAATGGAATGTAAAGAGATAGAAAGGCTGAGAGAGGGAGAAGGAGAAGAAGTTTTGGATTTCCTGGTGGAAAAGAATAAGAAAATCAAGAAAATGGTTGAAGAAGCAGATAGATCAAATGCTATTGAGGTTGTGTTGTTTGAGACTACTTCAGATGTTGAAATGTTACAGACACAGCTAAATCTTGTCAAGAAAATGGAGAGGAGCGTATACAAGAGAAACACGAGCATGTCGAGATCAAACCGTTCTTTTGAAAGAGGAAAATGTACTTTAACGTTTTTGAAAGAAATAACAGAAGAGACTGAAGCGAAAAAGGAGGCACGAGCTTCTCTTAACGCAGAACTCTTCAAGCTCATGAGGGTAATGGATGAGTTGAGAAAGCAAATCACCCAAGCCAAATAAGAAACAGGTCAGCTCAGCAAAATATTACGGAAAAAAGATGTTATGATTCAGAAATTAAATGCAAAGATGATTATGGAAAAATCGAAACTGGAAATAGCATTATCAGCCAAAGAAAGAATTACCTCTCTTGCCGACAATCTAGCTGGTTCACTTGAGAAATTAAAGAAAAACAAAGAAGTTGCAAAGCAAGAAGAGTGTCTTCTGAAAGCAGAGAAGACGGTTACAAAGATGGAAACACAAAAGACCAAACACGAAATAGACGAAAAGGAAAGAGAACTGAATTCAAATCTGGATGAGCTTGAGAAAGCAAAACAAGCCGAGGCGTTAGTACTTGAGAAGCTCGAATTCCTCATAGAAGACAAAATGGAGAGGCGCGAAACAGAGTCCAAAAATTGTCCAACCATCACTATCTCGAGGTTTGAGTATGAATATTTGAGTAGGCATGCTTCTCTAGCAGAAGAAACTGCAGAGAAGAAAGTTGCAGCTGCAGAGGCGTGGGTTGAAGCACTCAGGGCTAGCACTAAAGCGGTTTTGATGAAGACGGAAACTTTGTTGAGAGAGAGTGGAATGATGAGAATGGAAGAAGAGAGAGAAGTGTCTAGGACAGAAAGGTCGTTTTCGACGAAGAGACTGACCGGGGACGAGACCCATAGGTTTAAGCGGATACTGGAAGTGGAAGCTGAAAGCTATCTTTCTCCTAAACCAGTTAGGAAATCAACACCGGTGCAACGAGGGAAGTCAAGAAGATACTCATCTGCAGGGACTCCGACTTTCTTTGTAATTAAGAAGAAGAAAGTTCTGAAATTAGTCAAGCTTTTTAGTCGGAAAAGGTAAAAAAGAAAATCATTTTGAGATTTGAAAACGATAAGAGTTGTGGAAGTACATGTGTCGAAACCATGAAATGCTTCATATTCTTGTTCGTTGTTGTGCATGATCATTTCTTCACATCTCATCACATATTTGTGATAGTAATTTTAGTTATTCAATTTGTGCATGGCCATATCTTCACCTCCATCTCAAATCTGCGAAATGATGAATATTCCATTCATTTGTATGCATTGTCGTCAGTATGACATTCTAATGGTTTGAGTTTTTCTTTCCTGAAAAATAGAATTACAAATTTACAAATCTACAACTTTGTATGTTTTTTATACTCGCATAATCTGGGATTTTGTGAATCAAAAAGTTAAAGGTTTAAAATTTCTCATATATCGTCAAATTTATTCATTGAAACATGTTGAACTCTTTCAATAAATCTGATACATGCTTTTCAAAAATTTGTGAAATGTGTTGAAGTATGGTGTTCCTAACCAGTCCACAAGCGTTTCGGTTCAATTGATTAATTGGATTGAGGATTCGGTTATGATTGGTTTGTGTAAACCAATCGAGCACGTGAGGAGCACGTGGTACTGCATTAGTATACGAGTTATAAGTTTACTCGTATGATTCCTTTATGTTGTAAGCTGATTGTGATATAACAGCATAGAGAGAGAGAGAGATATAGAGAGAGGAAGGGCGATCAAGAAGCGATCGCCATTGTTGTATCTCGAGAGCTTGGTTAGAGCTAAGTTCTCATTCTAGTGCAGTTGCTGGATCATTCCAGCTCCGGAGAGTTATAGCGGCTCTCTCGCTTCGAGGGGGTGCGGTGAACTCCGGGTCACCAAAATCGTGTGTTGTTTTCTCTACAGTTCTTTAACAAAGATTAGATCTAGATCTCACAAACATTCGAAGATTCAAACTCAGATCCTAACAGAAGTGGTATCAGAGCCAGGTTCGCGAGCTAGCGAATCTAAGGTGTTGATTCCTTTCAAGATCGATCGAAGATGAAAGGGAAAAAGTGTGAGATCGAGCGATTTGATGGCGATGACGATTTCTCGCTGTGGAAGAGATGGATGTACGCTTACCTTAGCGTCTCCGGATTGAAGGATGTGCTCGTCAAGAAGTTACATGTTAAGGATGAGTCAGACGATGAGGAGAAAGATCCTGAGAAGGATAAGAAGATCATCGAAGATGAAACGGCAAGATCTGAAAGGTGCGAGAAGGCGATGAATATCATCTTCTTAAATGTAGGGGATCACGTTTTGTGGAAGATCGAGAGATGTACCACTGCATCAGAAACTTGGGAGATGTTGGAGAAGCTATACATGCCTAAGTCTCTGCCAAATAGGGTGCACGCTCAGTTGAGACTCTACAGTTTCAGGATGCAAGAAAGCAAGACCATCGATGACAACATTGACGAGTTCTTAAAGATCGTGGGAGATTTGAGCAATCCCAGTATCGAAGTTCCAGAGGAGGTACAAGCCATTCTTCTCCTTAACTCCTTACCATCAAAATATGATCAGCTGAAGGAGACACTCAAGTATGGTAGAGATGTTATCAAAGTAGATGAGGTAGCGAGCTCAGATAGATCCAAAGAGAAAGATCTGAAAGAGGTCATGGGGTCCAGAAGCAGTTCTGAAGGTCACTTTGCAAGAGGGAGGTCTGAAAACAGGAGTTCTCAGGGAAACTTTGGAAGGAAGAAGAGCTTCAGGTCATGGTCTAAGTCAGTTGAAAGGAAGAAGATATGTTGGATCTGCGGTAAAGAAGGGCATTACAAGAAGCAATGCTACAAGTGGCTAGAGAATAATAAGCATCGGATTCAGTCTGACAGAGGTGAGACGTCGGTTGCCAAGGATGATGCGCAGGACTTAGTAGGATTGATAGCTGCAGAGATAAATATGTCACAGATTGTAGATGACAAAGACGAGTGGATCTTGGACACATGATGCTCCTTTCACATGACACCAAGAAGGGATTTCTTCATAGAGCTTCATGAGTTGACAGCAGGTAAAGTAAGGATGGCAAACAACTCAATTACAGCAATAAAGGGGATAGGTTCAGTCAGATACCAGAATCCAGACGGCACTACGTTTGCCCTCCATGACGTGAGATATATACCAGAGATTGGGAGAAATCTGACTTCCCTAGGAACCTTAGAAGACAGAGGTTATGAATTCAAGGCTGCCAACGGGATTCTGAAGGTTATCAAAGGTTGCACGCTGGTCATGAGAGGGTACAGGAAGGGCTCGGATACTTTGTATTTTCTGAGAGGAGTTGCTAAGACGTCAGACAAATGTTTGGTAGGCTCATCAGGAATGGCAGCAAGCTCGTCAGATAAGGATCAGACTCAGTTGTGGCACAGTCGTCTCGGTCATGTGGGGCAGAAAGGATTAAATATGTTGGTAAAGAAAGGCTGTATACAAGGAGATAAAGTCACATCAGTAAAGTTTTGTGAGGACTGTGTTATAGGAAAGACGCACAAGGTCAGTTTTGGTCCAGCTCAACATTTGACAAAGGAAAGGTTAGATTACATTCAGTCGGATGCTCTCCCAACGTTCCAATGAGTCTTGGAAAGTGTCAGTACTTTATATCTTTTACTGATGACTGGTCAGAGGCAGCAGATGATGAGATGAACTCGTTAATGAAGAATGGAACCTGGGTGCTGGTGGATAAAAATAAAGAGCAGAGGCCTATTGGGTGTAAGTGGATATTCAAGAAGAAAGAAGGTGCTACCAAAGAAGACGGTCCCAGGTTTAAAGCAAGGTTAGTTGCAAAAGGATACTCGCAAAAGGAGGGCATTGATTACCAGGAAATTTTCTCTCCAGTGGTGAAGTTAGTGTCTATACGGATCATATTGGCTGCAGTAGTCCATTACGGCATGGAGCTGCAACAGATGGACGTAAAGACTGCCTTCCTCCATGGATACTTAGAAGAGACTATATACATGGAGCAGCCTGAGGGTTATGAAGATGAGAAGCATCTAGAGAAGGTGTGTTTGCTGAAGCATTCATTGTATGGGTTGAAGCAGTCTCCGCGTCAGTGGAATCAACGGTTGGATCAGTTTATGCTGAAGAATAACTATTTCAGGAGTGAGTTCGATAGCTGCGTGTATTTCAAGGAGCTTAAGAATGGGGAGTTAGTATATCTTCTATTATATGTGGACGACATTCTCATAGCCTCAAGAGACCGCCAACACATAAGAGAGTTAAAGGTTCTTTTAAACTCAGAGTTTGAGATGAAGGACCTAGGGGAGGCTAAGAAGATTTTAGGTATGGAGATTCATAGAGATCGAAGCAAGAATGTGTTAACAGTTTCTCAAGAAGGATACATCTTGAAGGTGTTGGGAAAATTTGGGATGGAGCAAGCCAAGGCTGTGAGTACTCCGTTGGGAACTCATTTCGATTTGAGAGCTGCTACAGAAGCAGAACTGAGAGATCAAGCTGAAGCGATGAAGAAGTTTCCTTATTAGAGCGCAGTGGGGAGTCTGATGTACTCCATGATTTTTACTCGTCCAGATATGGCGTTTGCCGTGGGTCTTGTCTGCAGGTATATGAGCAAACCAGTGAAGGAGCATTGGCTTGCTGTTAAGTGGTTACTGAGGTATTTGAGAGGTTCATTCAAGACACAGTTGGTTTATACGAAGGAGGGAGAGTTTGTAGTCCGTGGTTACTGTGATGCTGACTACGCAGGTGATGCAGACAAGAGAAGGTCAACTACAGGGATGGTCTTCACGGTGGGAGGAAATTCAGTGAGCTGGAGATCGAGTTTACAGAAGGTTGTAGCGCTATCATCTACAGAGTCAGAGTATATTGCATTATCAGAAGCGTCTAGAGAAGCAGTGTGGTTGAAAGGGTTCATGAATGAACTTGGTTTTCGTCAAGAGGCAGTAAAGATTTACTGTGATTCTCAGAGCGCCATAGCACTGGCTAAGAATGCTGTGTGCCATGAACGGACGAAGCATGTTCAAACCAAGTATCATTTTGTTCGTGATTTGATTGCTGATAGGTGGGTTCAAGTGGTGAAGATTGCAACGGAATATAACCCGGCAGATATATTCACGAAGGTATTACCAGTTGGCAAGTTCAAAGGAGCGTTGGACTTGCTAAGGATCTCAGAAGATTAAAGCTTTCTGGGTACGTAAGTTATTACAGTGAGAGGGTTTTCTCAGGAGGCAGGTTTCGTCTGGTTCTACAGTTAAGTGGGTGTTACTTGACGAGGACGGATGTTGCTGTATTGGCACAAGGATGAAGTTTCAAGGTGGAGCTGATAAGGAACAAGGTGGAGTGTTGAAGTATGGTGTTCCTAACCAGTCCACAAGCGTTTCGGTTCAATTGATTAATTGGATTGAGGATTCGGTTATGATTGGTTTGTGTAAACCAATCGAGCACGTGAGGAGCACGTGGTACTGCATTAGTATACGAGTTATAAGTTTACTTGTATGATTCCTTTATGTTGTAAGCTGATTGTGATATAACAGCATAAAGAGAGAGAGAGATATAGAGAGAGGAAGGGCGATCAAGAAGCGATTGCCATTGTTGTATCTCGAGAGCTCGGTTAGAGCTAAGTTCTCATTCTAGTGCAGTTGCTGGATCATTCCAGCTCCGGAGAGTTATAGCGGCTCTCTCGCTTCGAGGGAGTGCGGTGAACTCCGGGTCACCAAAATCGTGTGTTGTTTTCTCTCTAGTTCTTTAACAAAGATTAGATCTAGATCTCACAAACATTCGAAGATTCAAACTCAGATCCTAACAAAATGATTAACCGATATATATAGCAAATTATTAAAGATACATATTATCAACTCATGTTTATATATTAGACCAATATACTGGTAGTTACTTAAGATTACTAATTTCATATTTATACATATACTGTATATACGAACCATGTTAAAACTTTTTGAATAAAAATTCATATTTATCTGCATTAGAGTTTTGTTAAAGTCACCGAGGACAGCCTATAAGGATGAGAAGCAACTGGAATACAACCATTACATATGTTCAATGATCCAATAAATC